TAAAAAAAGTTTTAAAAATGTTTAAACTGTGTTTTATTAAAAACTGTTTTTATTAAACAGTTTTAAAAAAGTTTAAACAGTTTTAAAATAGTTTTTCTACGAACAGTTCAATTGAAATATTTTTAACAACTATTTTTTTAAGAAAAATTAAAATAAGTTTTTATTTTGGTTTTTAAAAAATAGATTTTTTTTTTAAACAAAACATTTAGTCACGGATTTGAGCCGTGACTAATTTTTTAGTCCGGAATTATTTGTTAAATTTAAAATTTATTTTTAAAAAAAAAAAATTAGTCACGGATTCATGACCGTGACTAATACGAAATTTCAAAACATTGAAAAAAGGAAACGCGGGTTTTTGAAAATTTCAAAAAATTGAAAACTTAGTCACGGATATTTCCGTGACTAATATGGTCAATTTTAAAAAAAAAAAATACTTAGTCACGGACGTGTCCGTGACTAATATAAAAAAAATTTTAAAAAATGTAGTCACGGATCTTAGCCGTGACTAAAGTGCCGGAGCAACTATTCCGGTGACAGATTAGTCACGGATCTGGTCCGTGACTAATCCGTGACTAAATTTAGTCACGCCCAAACAGTCACGGACAGAATCCGTGACTAAATGAGTTAGTCACGGATTTTTTACACTGTGGTCCGTGACTAAATCCGTGACTACCGCCGAAGTTTTTTGTAGTGATAGTTAGTTCAAAATCTACAATAATTACTAGAATATGTTAGGAGGAGGAGGAATAACTCAGATCTTAATATAGCGTTTAATTTTTTAAGAGATATCCGGTGTAGGACAAACACAGATTACAAGTTCCAAATTAAGGTTTAATTATTTAATAAAAATATGTGAAGTTAATTATGTACTTCCTATGTCTCAAAAAGATTCGTCAAAGTTACTTATATTTATCAATGAGTTGTTTTTGAAAATAAAAGAACACCTTTTATATTAATATCAAGGAAACATACAAGACAACGTCCATACAGTTACAATACATCCAATCGTAAGCCCTACGAATAGACATAGAATGAGTCACCTCATACAAAGTAATTTGATTTGCTAGACATAAAACGGGCAAATTTAAGCCTAAAATGACTAGAACCGAAACACAACCTATCAAAAGTACTTCAAATATCCAAATATCGAACTAAAATAAGAAGTACTACTCCCTTTCTCCCATAAAATTCTTCTAACTTACTACGTATCTGATAGAGTATATGGGCCTGGACCCCATGGCCCGCATACTCAAGTCAACCATGGCCAGAAGAACATCCACGTGGCCCCTTCGGCCCGGGGGGCCCGCATCGGCCGGAAACTCAACCGGGTCTGGAAGCACACACTGGGCTTCTGGGGCCGCATCGGCCCATGGACCGCATCGGCCACGGGACCGCATCGGCCAAAAGGCACCGCATCGGCCAGGCTTCGTTCGGGCAGAATACATCTCTTCACCTTATTTACTAAGTATTGTACTCAGCCCATTAGTGGCCCTATTTCGCCCAAAGAAGGCATGATTATTGTAATGGGCCTCCTAAGCTCATGGCTAGGAGCCCAAATCCACATTTTCACCTATAAATAGACCCCTTGGGGCTAGTTATAGGGGGTTGAGAAATATAATTACTCACTTTCTCTCTCTAGTTCTCACTTCTCTCTAGAATTAATACTCTATCAGTATCATTTTGGGATGTCCCAAAAATTCTTCCCACTTACCATTTGTGGAAAGTTTTGTGTGAGTAACATTCATTTACCTTTTTGTTACTCAATCACAACCGCATGCTCGCTGCCTTCGTCCAGCTAGCCTGCGCTCGCCGCCGCTCTCCCGCCGCATGACCGCCACCTCGTTTCATCCGTCGACCCATTGCACGCCTCTGCTCGTTTGTCGCTCTAGATTAGGGTTTGTGAGCTTCTCCTTCTTCTATTTAATGAAATTAGGGTTTCCGAGCATATGGACCCATCCACGCCATCATCGCAGATGTCATGTACAGCACGTTCGCCGGCCACCACCATCCAACCGCACAAAATTGGAGACGAACCCTGGGTAGGTTGAAGGCAATGTGTAGTGAATTCTATGACAGTGAGTAATACACAGTGAATAATTCGTTTTTAACGCAGTGAATATGACAAGAAGTGCAATAATACTACTAGAATGCAGTGATTATGACAAGTGGAGTAATATAGAGCACTGATATTGGCATAAAGTGACCTTATATATCAAATCTAAAAAGGAAAAAAAACTATAAATTCCTAACATTTTTAAAATGTTGTGCCATAACTCCGGCATGAAGTGCAGTAACCCCGTAATAAAGTGCATTATATTTATATAGACATAAAAACTAAAGTTATCAAATCTAAAAAGAAAAAAATAGTGATAAATTCATAACATTTTTCGACTATTTCGTAATGCCATAAAAAAGATTTTTGTAATGTCATGCAATAATGCTTTCATGAAGTGCAGTAAATGTCGTGCAGTAAATGTCGTGCAGTAATGGCTTCATAAAGTGTATTATGTTTAAGAGCATCTTCAATGCTCTTCTTTTAACAGGGAGAAAATTTTGCCAAATGTCAACAGAAGAGAGCAATGTTAATTTACATAATATACGAATCAAAAGAAAGGCATAAAAGACTCCCAATACATAATGTTAAGGGAAAACTATCAAATAAGCCCTCGTACTATACCGAAAAAGTCAATTAGGCCCTCGTACTTTACAAACACTCAATTAAGTCCTCGAACTGTTAAAAAACGTTCAATTAAGCCCTTTTGGTCAGTAAGGAACCGGTTTCCCAGTTAAATGTAACCCGTTTCCCGGCAGCCGCCGTTGCTGGGATTCGAGCACATCGTTGTCGTCGTCGCCGTTTAATCGGGAAATCGGTTAGTTACCGACCAAAAGGGCTTATTTGAACGTTTTTTAATAGCTCGGGGACTTAATTGAGTGTTTGTAAAGTACGAAGGCCTAATTGACTTTTTCGATATAGTACGGGGGCTTATTTGATAGTTTTCCCTAATGTTAAAAAATGAAGGTATCCACTACGTGTAATCTTTGGAAGCAATTTTTCTCCAGTACGTATGAAATAAATAAACAAAATAGAAAAGTTGGTTCAATTTAGATGACTCAACATGTTCAACATCCTTTATGAAATTCTAAAGTGGATTTAAAAGTGTTGGTTACATGTCAGCTTAACCAGGCAAACGAAAGAATGCATTGGAGGCCAAAAAAGCTTCACACTTTGTAAACTCGTATATCTGGGAAATTTTTACTCCGTTAAAAGAGAGCGTTGGAGATGCTCTAATGGGACAAAATTAGTGCAAGATGTCTTTTTTTAAAGGGGGTATTTTCATTCTTCAACATTTTAATATGATGAGTTTTTCTTTTTCTTTTTTCAATTTTTAATCATATCAATGTCTAAAAACAAAACTAGTCATATTATAACCCGACGATTTAAAATAAGGAGGGATTCTGAATACAAAAATAGATGATTGAATTAAATTTTATTAAGTCTTATAAGTTTTAGTCTTTTGCTCACGGGTGGAGCCAAGGGATCAAAGTGTCCGGCTGACCCCATGAAAGTTTGGAAATATATAGTACACAATGAAGTACCTTAGATTTGATATATTATGAGTAAAAAAATATAACTCCAGGAAAATAAGTATTATCTAAATTTAATTTGAACTGGGGAAAACTGTCAATTTGGTCCTCGTACTTAAATGAAAAAGTCAATTAGGTCCTCGTACTATTAAAAAAATCAATCAAATTCTCGAGCTTTGAGAAAACGTTCAATTGAGTACATTTTTAAAATGACCTGCCAAGTCAGCAGGTCACCCTGTGCGCCACGTTATCCGCAAATGGTTGACTGGACTTCCACATGTGTGTTATGTCAGCAAAAATATTGTTGATTGGGCTGCCACATGTGCGCCATGTTAACGAGTAACCTGCTGACATGGCAATTACTCTGCAAATGGACTCAATTGAACGTTTTTACAAAGTTCGGAGATCGGATTTGATTGATCTTTTTAAAAGTACGAGGACCTAGTTGACTTTGTCATGAAAGTACGATGACCAAATTGACAGTTTTCCCATTTGAACTGAGTAAAAATTGGATATGTTATATTGGTTATATAGTTTTATTGTTCTCAAATTTTAAAAATAATGTCTCATTTACTCATTTGTTACGTGAAATTTATAATATAAGACATATATATCAAACTAATAGCTCTATATGTCTCGTTTAAAGTGTCATTTATCTCATCGGACGTTTCTCTAACTCCACCGCCACATGTGATGATCAATTTTTACATAGGGTATGTTTGGCACAACTAGCTGAAAAGATACTTTTGTGAGCTTTTTAGTAACTGTTAGCTTTTAGTGCTTATTTTTTACATAGCATACTTTTGTGATTGAAAAGATCTTAAAAAGAAAAGGTGATATCTGTTTGGTAAAAAGCTGACTGTTTGATTTAGTTCGGTTTGATATACAAGCTGTTAGGACTAATTAATACTAAAAGTCATGAGCTTTTCTCAGATGCTACACTCGGTAGCATCTAAAAAAAGATCTTTTAATTTTTTAAAAGCTCTTAAAAAATGTCATGTCAAACATACAACTAGAGTCTTTTAAGGTCTTTTTAAAGAAAAGAGAAGCTAGAAGGCGGAGGCTTTTGTGTGCCAAACATGGCCATAGATATATTCATAGATGACTTTATTTGTACATTTATTAGTGTCATCATATATTGATCTTGTGATGACGTGGATTAGTTATGATAATTGCCATTTTGTCTCAATGATGAATGAACTGTGTTGCATAAACTCCGTATTATTTCCAATTATGCACATTAGGTTGAAGTGTTTCTAATCAACAAATTTCCATTTTTAGCTCTTGGACTAGATGTCTTTTGTTTGTTTCGAGCAAACTTTTGCTAAACTGACAAGTTAATACTAGCAACCGACTGGTAAGTGGCTCCATAGTCTCTTTCAATATCGGGACGTTACGCGGTTACGGTGGTTAGGCTTTAACTTATTAGAAGTCGATCCAATGGTGAGGTACGTCCTCTTATAAAAATAAGTTTCTTTCTAAAATATCATTCAAATAAAACGTATAAACGAGAAAACATAACTATAGCCGTGAAAAGTTAACAAGATATGAGGTGTATTTGGCATTTAACAGTTAGTGATTAGTGGATAGCGGACTGCATATGTTAGCGAGTTGTCAATAGTGAATTCAGACATTTGAATAAGTTGGCGGAATGGCGGGTTGTCAGAAGTTGTTTGATAATTTAGCTGTTTGATCATAATAATTAGTAGAAAACGTCATTGGTGGAGTATATGGGTCTGGGACCACGGCCCATATACTCTCAGACTTGCGGATGACCCAAACTAGCGCCAGGGGAATAAAACCCGCATAGAGAGCCAAGTCAGGGTCACGGGAACCCTCAAGATGTTCACCTCGGAGGCACGCACCCCGGCTTGAGCAACCCGGATTCCTTCACCAGAGGTCGTCCGAGATGCGATTATGAGGAGCCGACGCTCGCAGACGCTCTCATAGGACTCATTGTTGGTCCCAGTTCAGCAGACTAACGATCAGCTAGATGAGCATCATCGATAGACAGAAGAGAAAGATTTCATATAATGATATAAGCTTTATCGAGAACAGTGAAACCTTCTTTCTGTAGTATCGAGAAGTAAATTTGGCAGCGTAAGGCTAATGTGTATTGATCGATATTTGGTACCTGTACACAAGGCGCGTATTTATAGGCGTTGTACACGTTACCGATTTAGGTAAACCTTGGAAGTTGGGCCAAGGCCTTTTTGGGCCTTATTCCCTTTACCTTATTTGCTACATAATAAATACTAATCTAATACCATAAATGGTATAACTAGTCTACTTTATTTAAACAAGACATTACAGACAAACTTGACCCACAATAAAAGTTCTAACAATCTCCCCCTTTGTGGTCAAGTGCCGTCTTGCTGGGTTTCTTCACTTCTGAGCTTTGTAATAGTTCTTTCTGAGATTAAGTGCGTGCTCATAGTTTCTGAGTGAGTTTCTTCTATCAAGTTGCTTTTCAATGGCTTGTAGAATATTGTTAATTCTGTGCAGTTCCTTCTGGTCTCCTTCAGTGGCTTCAGTCGATTTCTGTCCAAGTTCTTGTTTCTTTGATCGGAGCTGCTCCTGGATGATCTTCAACGTTCCGTCACAATACTTGTTAATTTCATCCACGAACATTAGACGTTTTTCGTTGTTATGATTCAGATAGATGACTGATACTGGATTGTCAAAAATATGATATGCTTCAAAGGATTCAAGGCCAGGTCTACTCAAGTCCGGTCTAGTAAGATTCACCTTTGAATAGTTGTGCTCTATGGTCATCTGGAGGTCATGAGAAGCGTAGAACCGAACTTGTCTTGTCATGAATCTTTTTATCGCCTCGAAGCCTTCTTTAGCGAGTCTGTCTTTGTGAACTGGAAGCTCCCTGCACCTCATGAACATTTGATAAATGTCATCCATGTGCAGTAGAAAGAAGTCATTCTCTTGACAGGTGAACTCCGAGCCATCAGTACGTTGTAGACGAAAAATCATGAACTTAATTGTCTCCAGGTGATCTTCTGTAATCTCCAAGATTTTCAATATGGGACATCCACTTGTTGCAAGGTTGTGATTTAGAACTTGTCGACGTTGCCCTGTGGATCTATGTCCTAGCATATACAGATTTCCTCCTCTATATTTTCCTTTCAAGTGATTGATTCCTCGCATTTTTAATTCACTGAACTGCTTGACTTTTTCTGGTTGTCTCCAAATCTTCTCTCGAATTTCTTCAAGAAAGGGGGCTTTGATCCTTATGATTTCCCATTTTTCTTTAGCTGGTTCTGGTTCCTTGAGGTTTTCTTTTTGATTCTCCCCTTCCTTGCGTTCGTCTTTATCGAGTCCAATCATCATTGCATGGTATTTATTGAGGAACTCTCTGAGATGCCAGCTTCGACACATTTCGTACTGATCGGCTTCCACTCTAAGGTCATCCCACTCTGTCCATTTAGGAGGCCATTGATCATGAACTAGAAGATTTTCAAGCTCATCTTGTATTGGATTGTCAGAGGGTTCAGAGGGAGCTTGCTGCTGTGTCGAAGGTGACTCATCGTGTGAAACACCGGGATCCTCAGGATTGCCCGTTGACATCAGTTTCGAACTAGGTTCTAGCTGATGGCCTGAGTAAGAAGATGTACTCGTGGTAGCATCATCAGGACTTCCATTCCGTCATTGGTTAACATCTATAGGAGATGCACCTCGGGATGTTATGTCTAGCTCGACCATGCTAGAGAGAGTGGCTAGGGATTTATGGCTAGCTGAAGTAGTGGGTTGCTCATTGGTGGAGGTGGAGGGTTGGTTTGGCTTTGAGGGTTGGCTAGTAGAAGCAACATGCTCAAGTACCCGCTGGCGCTTGTTCTCCCCCTCATGAGAATCCGAATCATCAGGATCCTCATGTGAACGTTTAGCGCCACGGAGACTGTCACGGCAAGTGTTCTGTGTATCTAGAGCACGGAGAAGGGCTTTTTGAAGAGGGGTGAGGTTGCCTTCTTCCACGTCTAGTATACGGTCGTAGATCTCAGCTACAAGATCCTCGAAGGGTAGAGTTGTTAGGTTGGGTTTGGTCGTTGTAGGGGAGAATACTAGTTCTGTATCCTGGGTTCCCCTTGATGTGGATGGTTGTTGGTTTTCTATGGCTAAGGGTTTGGAAACAGGTATGGAAATGGTTGGGGGCTGTGTTGTCTGGGGTTTGGATGGTATATTCTGAACAACTGGGGTACTTCCAGAGTCTTGTGCATTAGCGGTTATTGCTTCATGCACCCATGGCTTAATGGTAGACTCTAGAAAGCTGTTCAGATATACGAGAATGTCTTCGGGGATAATGGTACCAGTTACAGGGGTTGTAACTGTTGTCACAGCATCAGTGAAGACAGCTGATGTGTGGCCTGCGTTCAATGATCGAGGCATTGTTGGCGTAGCAGGGCTTCCGACCATCATAGTTTGCACTCCGGTCGTTGCATTCAGGGTGAGTGCACCTGTATGTGCAGTGAATAGTGTAGGTGTCCTAGAAAAATTCAAAAATGTAGGAATGATGACACCTAGACTCGAAGTGATAGAACGGATGGGGGTAGTGGTCCGGGGCTGTTGACCACTAAGTCTCTCAGCAGATTCGGAAGGAATCAGTGAGGTCGGTGTAAGTTCCCCTTGAGATATTGAAACTCCAGTCTGTTGGGAGACTGGAGAGTGGATGGGAGATGGCTGTGCATGCGCAGTTGAACCAGATGCTGCGACTTCTACCCGGGAACTGACAGGGTCAGCTCCTGCTCCTAGAGGCGTGGTTCGGTCTATGGTGACAAAGGTATCGCAGTCATCGTATAGTGCCAGCTCCTCCTCCACTGCACTCTTCTTTCTTAGCCTCTTCTTAGGCTGTGATGATGCAGATTTGTCGCTGTTGTGTTTGGAGCGCTGCTCACTGATGACAATGCCCTTAAGTGGTCGGGACATGTGAGCAGCCTCTTCATTGTCCGATGAGGAGTCGGAGTCTATCGGAATGGCTCTCTTTCCGGCTCTTTTCCTGTTGCTGATCAGAACTCCCTCCATGTCATCATCATCATCTGCATCATCATCATCATCATTATTCTCCTTTCCCTTGGCCATGTTATCGGAGGCCTCACCACCAGCCTTATTAGAAGGGGCCTGGCTTGATGGTTCATCGGCAGTGTCCTCAGCATTAGGGTGGCCCTCAGCAGTCTGGGTCCTCTCGGAAGAGTTAGCAGACTGATCATCATTAGGCCGGGTTGCCACTGGTTTCTGTGGCGGGGCTCTCTTCTTCTTACCCTCACTCGCTCTCGGCTTGGTTCCCGGGGAAGGTCCAGCTGGGTTTTGCTGAACCATAGGAACCGTTCTCTTCAACGACTCTTTGTAGTCAATGACTGCCTTATCCCTTGGATTTGCTAGGTTAAGCAGGGAGTCCGGAATAGGCAGTGCTTCAGCTTTATTGCTGTCTCTCTGAAAGTACTTGAGCTTGGGCGCAGTGAAATGCTTGTCCTCCTTACGCTTTGGCATTGTCGGGGTGGCCTCCATAATGTTGTGGATGATCAGCGCCAGCCACCGAGCGTAAGGGATTGTGTTGCCCTTATGATTCTCCTTCATCTTCACTTGATCCATTAGCTCCGTCCAGAAAAGCTGAGCCATATCGTACTGCTTGTCAAAGGCGATCCCGTGGAAGATTTGAAGTATTTGCTTGTTGCACTTGTCATGTCCGGCGTGCTTAGGAGAGAGACACTTATTGACCAGGCCGAACAGACTCTTCCACGGGTGAGGCAGGTTGGAGATTGTAAAGTTTGACAGCAGGGGCAGTGGGCTGTCGTATCCAAGATCTTTCATCCCCTTGATCAGCTCTTCGTTTGAGGGGAGTGGTGCGTAGTGTTTGAGCACTGGGAGCTTCAGTGTCTCCCTGATTGTTGATGGTGTTAGCACCACCTGCACGTCATTCAGTTTGGTCATTATCTTCGACCTGTCCTTCTCTGAGGCTGTGTGCATCAGGCCCCAGAACTGTTGTAGATACACCTCTGGCACTGGTTTGGCTTCATTAAATGCAGACCAGAGGTAATGCTTCTGTAGGATTGATAATATCACTGGATCCTGGCATTTGAACAGCTTTAGGTCCAGTTGGAAGTTGTTGTCGTACAGTGGGACCCATTTCTCCTTTGGGTACACTGCGTTGCTTGGTTGTGCAGTTCTATCTGTTCCTGACATTGGTAACTGAAAGAATTGGGTCAGCACATTGTTCATTTGAAAATTTTATTTTTGTTCTATTTTGCAATTGTTCAGATCAGGTGTGTTCTGGTGGGGCCTCGAGAAAATTTCTGAGTGTAAACCACGAGAACCATCTTCTCGAGATTTGAATATCGAGAAGTAGGTTCTCGAAGTTTAAATACCGAGAAGCTCTTCTTGATACTCAAACATCGAGGTCTTGGTTCTCGATGTGAGAATATCGAAAAGTCCTTCTCGAGATCTAAACTTCGAGAACTTCCTTTCTCGATGTTTAAATATCGAGAACTGCTTCTCGGTATTTCAAACTTCGAGAAGTAGGTTCTCGGTATTTAAACATCGAAAAGACCTTTTCGAGGTTCAAATATCGAGAACTGACTTTCGAGGTTTGAAATATCGAGAAACAATTCCTCGAATTCAAATATCGAGAAAGATGTATTCTCGAGTTCGTACTCAGAATAAATGTCGAGAACCACCTGCAATTACACAATCATAAAAATATCAATAACAAATTTCGATGTTTATTAAGACTCAGTTCTCGATATATCACTTCGAGAAATTCCTTTTGAGTTCGAGAACCGGTGCATTTTGTGCGAGAACCATTTTATTCAAGATTTTCATCAGAATCACTACCTTTAGTGCGAAATGTGTGAAGATTTGAGAAAGTTTTTGAGGAAGTCGGTTGAGAGCTCTGGACTTCGAGAACTTTTTAGAAAAAATATGCGAGAAGAATGGGTTGTCTAGTTCTCGAAGTCTTCTTATATGCGAGAAAATCCTGGGCCTTGCGAGAAAGTAATCTGGACCCAAAAGTTTGAGTTGGGCCCGGTTCCGTGTTTAAAATTATTTTGAGCCCCAAACGTTTATTTATGTACAAAAAAAAAAAACTCCCCCTCAAATTGTGCATGAGAGAGAAAAAATGTACACACATACTCACACTTTTTCTCCTTTTTCTGATTTTGACACACACCACACACACACTCTTTTTCTTATTTTCTGATTTTGACACACACACACACACACTCTTTTTCTGATTTTCTCCCTTTTCTCCCCCTCAACACATGCAACGCACACCACGCTCACACACACATTTTATTCAGACCATGGAGATAACACAATTACATAGGATCGAGATTCAACATGCCTAACTTAGATACTAGGAACTGGAATCTCTTGTCATCCAGTGCCTTAGTAAATATGTCAGCCAGTTGAAGCTCAGTGCTTACAAAGTACAGATCAACATCTCCTTTCTCCACATGGTCCTTGATGAAGTGATAGCGCAAATCGATGTGCTTGGTGCGCGAGTGGTGAACGGGGTTGCTGGTTATGGCGATTGCACTCTGGGAGTCACTGTAGATGGGAATATGGTTGAATAGGAAGCCATAGTCTCTGAGTTGTGTCCTCATCCATAGGATTTGTGAACAGCAACTAGCAGCCGCAACATATTCTGCCTCGGCTGTAGAAGTTGACACGCAGTTCTGCTTCTTGGAGGACCAACAGACTATCTTCTCTCCCAGAAATTGAGCACCACCGGATGTACTTTTTCGATCTAACTTGCAACATGCAAAATCAGCATCTGAGTAACCAACAAGGTCAAAACCCGTGTCCTTGGGATACCAAAGTCCCAAGTTGACTGTTCCTTTCAGGTATCTCAGGATTCTCTTTACTGCATTCAGATGTGATTCCTTTGGATTTGCTTGAAAGCGAGCGCACAGACAAGTTGCAAAGACAATATCCGGTCTACTAGATGTCAGGTACAGCAAGGAACCGATGATAGCCCGATAGTTGGTAGCATCGACGGAAGTCCCAGAAGGGTCAGAGTCGAGCTTTTGTGAGGGAGACATGGGGGTTTTCATGGTTGACTTGCTGTCCATCTTGAATCTCTTGAGCATTTCATGGATGTATTTTGACTGGCTGATGAAGATTCCTTCTGGCAGTTGCTTGATCTGTAGCCCTAGGAAGAAGTTCAACTCTCCCATCATGCTCATTTCGAACTCAGTGCGCATCAAGTTGCTGAAATCTTCGCAGAAATTCGGGTTGGACGAGGCGAATATGATGTCATCGACATAGATTTGTATCAGCATGATGTCACTGTTCTCTCGCTTGATGAACAGAGTGGGATCTATCTTTCCCTTCGAGTAACCTGATTGTACAAGAAAGTCAGATAGTGCATCATACCAGGCTCTCGGTGCCTGTTTTAGTCCATACAGAGCTTTCTTCAGCTTGTAGACATAATGTGGACGTTCAGGATCAACGAAGCCTTCTGGTTGTGCCACGTAAACTTCTTCTTTCAGTTCTCCATTTAGAAATGCAGTCTTGACATCCATTTGATACACGATGAAACTCTTATGAGCAGCATAGGCAAGGAACAACCTAATTGCTTCAATTCTGGCCACTGGTGCAAAGGTTTCATCATAGTCAATTCCCTCTTGTTGATTGTACCCTTTTGCTACCAGTCGGGCTTTGTTTCTGATAATCACACCGTCTTCATCTTTCTTGTTCTTGAAGACCCACTTGGTGCCAATTATTGTTTTCTTTGGGGGTCTTGGCACCAGGGTCCATACATCCAATCTTTCAAACTGATTGATCTCCTCCTGCATTGCTATCACCCAATCTGAATCTGCTAGAGCTTCAGAAACTTTGGTTGGTTCAGATTGACTGATGAAGCAAGAGAAGAGACATTCATTTGCTGTGGCTGTTCTTGTACAAACTCCACGACTTGGATCTCCAATAATTTGTTCTGCAGGATGTGCTTTCGTCCATTTCCGCTCATGAGTTAGAGGGATTGGAGTTATGATGGGGTGATCCGGGTCCTCAAAAGTAGTAGATGTGGTTTGTTGAGAAGTGGAGTGCACAGGGGTCGATTCAGATTCTGTGTCTGCTTGAGCTGGTATTTCTGAAACTTGTGCTGGTGAAGTTGCTTGTGTTGCTGCCGTGCCATGATCTTCAGTATTTTCGTGATCTGATGTATGAGGTGAGTCAGCTTCTTCCTCACTGAGGTCAGGCATGAATGGTGGTTGTGCAGCTTCTATTGGTAACTGTGGGTTGGCGGTGCGTGCATTTTCATAGAAATGTTCAAAGAGAGAGTCGAGAATTGCACTGTCAGCCGTTGTTTGCTTCGTTGCTTCAGCTCCATCAGGTTGCTTCCTTTGAGCAGAGAGTGTGTGTTCTATCAAGAAATGTTCAGAAGCAAAGTCAGCCATTTCATAGAATGCAACGTTGACACTCTCAATGACTGTTCTGCGATCACGTAGATAGACCCGATACGCCTTTGATTGCGTGGAGTACCCAATGAATACTCCTTCGACGGCTTTCGGATCCATCTTGCTTCTTTCATTTCTGTCATTTAGAACAAAGCACTTGCAGCCAAACACTCTGAAGAATGAGATGTCAGGTGTTCTGTTGAAGAGTATTTCATAGGGGGTTTTGTTGAAGCGCTTGTGAATTGATGTTCTGTTCTGAGTAAAACACGCTGTGTTGATTGCTTCAGCCCACATGAAATGGGGAAGCTTTGACTGAATAAGCATGGTGCGTGCTGCTTCAACAAGAGTTCTATTCTTTCTTTCAACGACCCCGTTTTGTTGTGGTGTCTTTGCTGCAGAGAATTGCTGTGTGATACCCTGAGTTTCATAGAACTCAGCAAGAGACTGGTTCTTGAACTCGGTACCATTATCTGTTCTGATGATCTCCACACTCTTTTGTAGAAAATTTTGGATTGTCCTGATGAAGGTTATGATGGTTGCAGCTGTTTCATCCTTTGTCCTCAGAAATTTGGTCCATGTGTACCGAGAGAAGTCATCCACAATGACCAGTGTATACTTGCGTCCATTGATGCTTTGGACTCTCATTGGTCCACACAGATCCATGTGTATTAGTTGCAGCAGTCGGGAGGAGGATGGAACAGGTTTTAACTTGTGAGAGCTCCTTTTCATTTTGCCTAGTCTGCAGGCATCACAATGAGTGACAACGGAAGTCTTCAGAGGAGGCAGCCCTTTTACAAGTTTCTTGGAGGACAAAGTAGTGAGATATTTGAAGTTGAGGTGAGACAGACGTCTGTGCCATAGACTGTTTTGTTCATAGGAAGCTTTGGACAGCAGGCAGATGGAAGAAGGTAATTGTACGCTCTTCAGATCAATGGTGTACAGGTTGGAAGTTCTCGTGCAGGTAAATAACACCTTCCCAAACCTGTCCAGCACACAACATTGTCTGGCTATGAACTTCACTTCCATGCCACTATCGCAGAACTGTCCAATGCTTAGCAGATTATGCTTCAGTCCTTTCACATATGACACAGCCTTGATGGTGACACTTGCACAGATGACATCCCCATATCCTAGGATTGGAGAAGCCGCGTTGTTTCCAAATCTCACATTTCCTCCGTAGCATTTGGTGTAGTTGCTCAACAGTTCTTTTATTCCGGTCATGTGGGTTGAGCAGCCTGAATCTAAGTGCCACACATGACCGTCCTGCAAAACAGATTAAGGACTTTTAGGTACCCACCGCAGGATGGGTCCTTCCTTATCAATTGAGAATATCTTTTTGAATTTTTCTTTCAGCTGTGATCCACGGTCAACAGCCTTTTCAGATAATGTTCTTTGTTTTTCAAGTTCAGTTTTTGGTATCCATTTTTGTTTGATTTTAGGAGCGGAGGAGACAGAGTCATTGTTACCATGTGTGAATGGCTGGTTCGTGAGATAAGGTTTGAAAATTTCTTCTTTAGAGAGACGTTGTAAATGTTTCTTCGAATGAACTCTAAGAGGATATCTTAAATTTGGAAGATTATAGGTACCCTCTATAGTTCTATTCTCAGACTGTTTTCTTTGTTTGCGCTCTCCTTTTTCTTTCTCACGTACAGCATTTACATCATGATCAGAACCAAAAGTATCATTGCAAGGATTCACAAACCCAGAAGTGAACAACTTTTCATTGATAATGAAAGTATCAGATTTAAACTTAGAATGATTCAGCTTGGGACACAAGACTGAACTGGAACTAC